ACGAGCTGCTTCCTGGTGCCTTCACATCCTTCTCTTCTGGGTGCTGATGTACAACACATTGTTTCCTTGGATAAATGCATTCCCGTACTTATTCTTGAGCTGTCCATTGACATACTCCTCTGTCTGCTCCAAGGCTATGTTCATGTAGCTGTCCAGGCAATCCAGGACCCCTCCTCGCCCGGATCCAAACCGGTACCTCCGGCGCCTGCACGCAGACTCTCAAAATGAAAATTTTATAAAGGAGGGTAGGGAATATGGCTCAATAGTGAAGTGCTTGGCTAGCACATAGAAGTCTTGGGTTCGATCTATATTAATTTCCCAATCTCTCAAATAGGACTGGTACAACCAAGGAGTTCAAATTGTAATGGTCTCAGTAAAATCATATAAATGTATATGCTAGTTTAAATATGGCAGTAAGACAAGGCAGTGGTTGTATTCATTGTACACTATGTAAAAAAGTGAACTATGTAACTTTGGATGGGGAGAAACTTGGAGAGAATGAAGGAAGGGGTGACATTAACCCAGAAGCGTTGTACTCATAACTTGACTTACAGAATTGTAACCATTTTGTACAACTACTTAATAATTCTAAAAAAAAATACAACAAAATATTGTATCTTTCACCATACTATCAACAAGCTGATGAATAAAAGCCTTCTGGAGGTACACATCATTAATTATCAGAGTATGCAATCAAAATCACGATGAAGTATCATCTCACCCCAATCAGAATGTTTAAACAAACCAGGACTGTGCCTCCCACCTATATTTGTAGCTGCCCAGGAGACTAAATTCTGAGGACCACAGTTCAAAGCCAGCCTGGCAGAAATGTTGATGTCTACAATTACCCAGAAAAAAAAAAGAAAAAAACTGGAAGTGGCAATGTGGTAGAGAGCCAGCCTTGACTGCAAAAGCCAAGAGAGAGCTCAACACGCCGGGCGCTGGTGGCTCACGCCTATAATCCTAGCTACTCAGGAGGCTGAGATCTGAGGATCACGGTTCAAAGCCAGCCCAGGCAGGAAAGTCCGTGAGACTCTTTTTTTAATTTTTATTTATTTTTTATTGTGAAAATACTGTACAGAGGTGTTACAATTAGATGGGCAAGTCGTGAGACTTTTATCTTCAATAAACCACTTGAAAACTGGAAGTGGCGCTGTGGCTCAGCGGTAGAGCGCTCGCCTTGAGCTGAAGAGCTGAGGAACAGCGCCCAAACCCAGAGTTCAAGCCGCAGGACTGACCAAAAAAAAAAGAAAAAGAGAGAGAGAGAGAGAGAGCTCAACACCCAGAGTTCAAGCTCCAGTACTGGCACCAAAATAAAATAAAATAATTAAAATTAAATAATATAAAGTACAGTACATGCTGGCAAGAATGGGGAAAAAATTCTTTTTCACTGCTTTTAGGAGTGTACATTATAATAGACATTATGGAGAACTCTGAAAGATTCATTTTGGAAACTAAAAATATTCTATATGTTCTAGCCATTCCAGCCCTAGTATATATCTGAAGGAAATTAAGACAATAGCAAAAACATACCTGTATATCCATGTTTTTTTTTTGCATTTCTGTTCTTAATAGTTAAGATGTGAAGCCAATCGTGGTATCTCTTGATGTATGGTTTGAAAAAGGAAGTGGTTACAAATGATGGAATATTATTCAGCAATAAGAAAATGAAGACCTGTCATTTGTAGCAAAATTATTGTAACTAGTGGACAGTACGTCAGGTGAAATAAGCCAGATCCAGAAGAACCAATATTGCATGTTCTCTCTCCTGTGTGAAGTCCAAAACAACTTGGTACAATAGAATACAATCAAGTAGGATTAGTGGAAACTGGGAAGGAAACAGAGGAAGGTAGATAATGGGATGCTAGGAAAAAGAGAGAGGCTAGATAATGAGAATCAGAATAGGAGGAATAAAATCTAGTGTTTATGACACAGTCCACAGTCAAGTAAGAAAGGAGCTGTATGAAATGGAAATACTAATTGTCCTGATTTGATTTGATTAACAAAGTGTATACATAAAGTGGAATGTAACATTGTTACCCCATAAATGTGTGAAGTTATTACATGTTAATGAAAAATAAAATAAAATGTGTATAAATAGGTATACTAGGGTTAATAAAAATACTTTTTAACAATATAATTTTATTTTCATAAGATTAATTATGAATTAGTAATGCATTTAAATCAAACAATACTTCAGAACATTTGTCACACAGAATTTACACATCATATTTATTTAGTAACAGAATGTCTAGATGGGTAAAATTGTGTGTGTGTGTGTGTGTGTGTGTGTGTGTGTTGATCATGGGACTTGACCTCAGGGCCTGGTATCCTTGACTGAACTCGTGTGCTCAAAACTAGCACTCTGTCACTTGAGTCACAGTTCTACCTCCAACCTTTTGGTAGTTAATTGGAGAAGAGTCTCATGGACTTTTCTGCTTGGGTTGGCTTTGAACCCCAATCCTCAGATCTCAGCCTCCTGAGTATCATGGGCCAATCGTGCCTGGTGAGTAAAACACTCTTAAGAACCAGCTACAATTCAGTTTTCAAACTAAAGAACAAAAATATTAAATAAATTGCCTTAAAACACAGTCAGCGCCTAGGATACAGAACACAGTGCTGTGGTTGGTCACCATCCATTCCATCAGTTTGTTGTGTACAATCTCTTGTTGGCAAACTTGTACAAGCAGTAGTGGCATACTGTGGTTCCATTGTGTACAGTATGGTATTCATCTGTTGAAGAAATACATACTGTATTTTATTTTGATTTAATATTCTTTTAATATGCTTGAATTAACATTTTTATATTGTTTTAAGTTTTTAGGCAAAAATAACTCAAATCATAAATATTATATATATATGCCTATATACCACAGAATCCTGTGATATAGTGAAAACTCTGTGATGAAAAATTATATATATATATATATATATTTTTTTTTTAAAACCCGTGATTCAGGGCTGGGAAGTTGGCTTAGTGGTAGAGTGCCTGCCTTGCATGCCTGAGGCCCTGGGTTCAACTCCTCAGCACAACATAAGCAAAAAGAAAAAAGCCGGAAGTGGCGCTGTGGCTCAAATGGTAGAGCGCTAGCCTTGAGCTGAAGAGCTGAGGGACAGCGCCCAGGCCCAGAGTTCAAGCTCCACAACCGGACCCCCGCCCACCCCCCAAAAAAAAAGAAAAAGAAAAACCCGTGATTCAGTGAGGCTGCAATAAGTGAACTCTGATGGATGATTGTAATTAATGTGTTAAAGGTATTTTGTTCATATTGTTCCTTGAATATCTAAAATAAATTTACTTTGTGTTTCTCTGGAATAAAATGTTGTTTTTGAACATTTTATGTTGGCTTTTTGGGTTGATATTTTTATCTGTTGCTCTTTTAGTCAGCAGTTTTGTGGGGGTTTTTCCTTGCTATACTGGGAACTGTCTTTGTGCCTGAATAACAAGTACTCCACCACTTGAGCCACACACAAGTTCAGTAGATTTAAATTTTTAAAAAAAATGTTCAGAGCTGGTTTCTTTAATTTTTTTCCTTTTGGTAATCTTTAAGTAATGTTTTTATCTGAATATTACATCTTTATTGCTTTATTAGTTGTTACTCTCAGATCCTTTTTATCTTCTTTGCATTTCAAAAACTTTCTAATAGTTCACAAGTTTCACCTACTTTGTAGGGGCATATGTTCCGGGTATGCTTTTATTATTAGTTAGGATATTACTCTGTACCATGTCATTGAGCTCCACCATTTTGTGGCTTTAGTGTTTTGAAATCGAATGTCCCTTACCTTGAGATGGCTTCTGATAACTCTCCTCACAGTTCTCCCTGCTTTTGGTTTTGAGCTCATTTGCTTTCTGAGGTATTTGTTTCCTTCCTTGATTTACTTAGACAGACTTTTTCCTTTATTGCCATTGTATCTGTTGTGCTGTATAAACTCCACACCAGTAATGTATACTCATTTCGCTTTTGTTTATAGGAAGGTCTGTTTCCAGAGTTTATAAGACGATTGCTCCAACTCTCAAAACTGGATTAATTGCACTTAATAATTTTGGGAGGGTAAATCCTTTCCCAAAGATAGTTTCTGTACTCAAATTGACTGCTGGTTTTGATAAATGCTTTCTGCTGTTTGAGGAGTATCTTGTTTTCAGTTCTGACAGACGTCTTTTTCTTTCCACTTCTTTCTGTGCAGATAATCAACCATGCAGATCTTGTAATTGGTAGTGATTTGTTCCCACCTGCTGGGTTTTTTTGGCAGAGGTGCTGAAGGAGCAGGGTTGGTGAAGGTTGCTGTCACCTAGATTTGTTGTAAATGTCTATGAATTTTTGATTTACTATTTAGTTTTGCTCATTTTCATGAGGATTTAGGGGTACTCAAAGTTTTTGCCCACACCTCCATTGTCTAGGATCAGAATTTCTAATTTGTCACTTAATTGCTGTTGGTAATATTTTTTTCTAGCTTGACAAACTTAAAACTCATCATAAACCCCTATTACAACAGTCAAAACAGATGTCATCCAACAGAACAATAGCTCATACTCTATTTATCATACTTCAAACATATTGTCACAGAAACAAACTTTTGAGCAAAGTGATTAAGATGATCAGGATAGTAAATTGTTTCTTAAATGATAAAATCAAAACATTAATAAAAGAAAAAGTAGTTTATTAATATGGAGAAAGGCAAAAGGGTTTATAAGGAGGTATGATGGAATTTGGTAATTGTGAAGGGAACTAATAAATGCAAATAATACTTTTGTTGGTGGTGATTAATTCACTTGCTTTTTAACTAAAAAATTAGCTAATAGAAATATGCTCACAAAATAGCAATATGAACTCTATCAAACTATCCATGACATTTATTGCATTAAGAACTTGGTATTTCTTATTTTGCTTCATTTGGCTTTCTTGCTTAAATAAATCACACTTTATTGGCATTTCAAAAGATAGATTATATTATGCTTATTTAAAATTACTTCTAATTTTTACCTTTCAAAAAATCTTTAACAGGCCTCAACAAATAATGAAAGCTCTAATCACAGTTTTGGAAGCTTAGGATCTTTAAGTGACAAAGAATCAGAGGTAAGTAATTCCATTTTAAATATGGCATTATTTGAGGTATAAATTGGATTCACCTTTTTAACTAATAGTGTTGGGGATTTTTTCACTTTTATCAGTTCTGATGCTGAAAGTTAATGATTTTAAAGTCCTTGTAGGAGTATTTTTTTTCTGCCTTATGAAGCAACATCATATTAAATACTGTGTTTGGTATTAGAAAGAAAATAGTTTTATGATTAAGCTGAACTTACAAGTTTAACACATTAGTGGTGTATACATATTTTTAATGGAAGATAATAGTCATTCATAATTCTATGAAATAAAAGTGGTTTTTGAAATATGTTATATTTCAGAGTTTTCCATTATTGTTTTTGTATTTCCCTTCTTTGTTCCCAAGTAAGGTTTTATGAGCTTTTCTAGATACAGATGTACATATTTAGATATAATATAATTTCTCTCTAGAATTTCTTTCAGATCATATTGATGGTGTTTATTTTGCATATTATAAAAAATGTGATGTATCTCTTCCTCTACCACTGACTTACTGGCACTACCAAGAAAATGCAGGATTTTTTAAGTAGGCATTTGTATCCATGGTATTAGTTTATTTTGAGTATGGTGTATTTGATGGCATCTTTTAAAAATGGGTAGACCGTATTTTCTTCAAGTGTTCATTTGCTGATAATTTAACTTCACTTTATGTGAAAATAGCCTTTCCTTGGGTTGTATAGTTCTGTCACAATTTTTACATTTATGTGTGCATGTATGTTTTTGTATGTATGTATGTGTGTGTATGTTTCCTGTCAATAAAAACTTTACTTGCTCCATTTTAATCTCTTTCTCTTTTTTTTTTTTTTGCTGCTTGAGTTGATATAGATATATCTCTTGATAATTTCAGTAGGCTGTTAATGCTTAGGAACTCTCTTTGGCATTTGGTTTTCTGTGTTGAGTGGAAAGAGATTCAAAGGTGGACATCTTTTTAGCCCTTTGTTACCGAGTATCTAGGAATCCCTAGATGAGCAGTTGTACAGTTCTATACAGGCATCCTGACATTCCAAAGGAGTGTGGCATAGGGTTCTCACTCATCAGGCTTTCCCTTCCACAGAGACAACTGGCAGGCAGCTGAAAGGACTGTGCAATGACGGGACTTTATCTGCAGTAGGTTTCCTTGAGGTAAGCGTTAGTAGCCCCTGTAGCACCAGAATTCACAGGTTAGTTTTTTGTTTTTGTTTTTCCAAATTAGCACACTTGCATGTTTAGTTCTAGTCAAAGTACAGTTTTTCAAAAACTGTATCAAGAATATTTTTACTCTATATTTTCTAGACTATTGAAAATTCTTATAGAATTGGTATATTCAATAATTTCATGTTCTTCTTTCATAGTCTTGTGCTATGAAGGACAGTAAAATGATTTTAAATATTTTTCTTTTCCCTTCACCAAATATGCTGGTTTTATTTTGGTGGCGCTGTTTTTTTTTTTAAACTCATGGCCTTTGCACTTGCTAGACAGGTTCTCTGTTACTTGAGTCATGTCCCCTTTTTGCTTTAATTCTTTTGAGATAGGGTTTTACACTTTTGCTGGGCCAGCCTGGACCATGACCTTCCTATTCTTCCCATGTAGCTGGAGTGACAGGTATTTTCCACGTGCCCAACTATTAGTTGAGATGACATCTTGTGAACTTTTTGCCTGGGCTAACTTTGATCTGTGATCTTCTTGATCTCTCTACCTCCTAAGTAGCAGGAATGACTGGCATGAGCCTCAGTGCCTGATCAGTTTTGTTTTAGTTTTTAGGGTAAAACGTAGTGAAAAATAGATCACTTTATAGCACTTACTTGTTTTGTGATGTTTGTAGGTAACTGTATTCTCAATATAAATTGTAGATTTAGTATTTTGCTTCTTTCAGAGGACCAAAAGAAAATTCCTTTTCCCTTTGAAGAATTCCAAATCTGTATTTTTAGTTTAAATGTTTTTGTTTTAAGACCATAGTTACAGTTGCAATGAAACACATTTGGGTAGGCATTAGTTATGTATACCTTTATTTGTGTAGAAACTTTGACCTTTGGGGCAGCCATAGAAAATTTTGAAAAATCCTTTTGTTTTTGCTGTCTTACGTCCTGTATCTGAAAGTTTTACAAACGAATATTATTTTGGAAATTACTACCAGTTGTATATTTTTCCCGAAACATTCAAAACTATAACTTTTAATGCTACTATGTTTCATCTTTCCATGTAAGAAGTTGCTTATCTTTTGGAAAATTAGTCCTTGATTTTATCTCTAGAGTAGGTATCTTAATTAGTGAATTTGCCTGGGATGAAATTTCATCCATACCAATATAACAGGTGTTGCTAGGTCATTAACTAATGTGTTTGAGAGTATACTGTTGTAAGATGGGTGTACTTCTTCCCTTGGTACACTTTGCAGTAAAGTGAAGGTTGAATTCCATTGTCTTTTAGTACCATTTATTGTCTTGATTATACATTCCCATGTCTGTTACATATTTTTAAATGACAGATTTTGTCTTTGTGAGTAAATAATACTAGGTTTATTTAAAACAAACAAAATTAGCTGTCTTTTAGCACCATCTGTATTCCACACTCAATTCTTTAGCTTATCTTCTTGGTATCTCCTCACCTCTCTCCTCCTATCTTTCCCCTTCTCCCTTTTTATCCTCTCTACCCCTTTCTCTCTCCCCTTTTTCTATGTCCTTTCTTCTCTTAATATGTGTGTGTGTGTATGTGTATGTGTGTGTGCATGTGCATGTGCATGTGCGCGTGCGTGTGCGCACATGCTCGCTGGTACTAGGGCTTAAACCAAGGACCTCTTATTGGCTTTTTTGCCTCCATTGGGCACTTCCCATTTGCCATACCTCCAGTCTAGAAATCTGCTGGTTAATTGCAGACAATCTCACCGACTCCTCTGCCTGGGCTAGCTTCAAACCCCAGTCTTCTAGGTCTCAGCCTCCTGAGCAGCTAGGATTATAGGCATGAACCAATAATACCTAGCTTATATCTATATTTTATTTTATTCTATTTTCTAAATGAAATTGTTATTTATGTATTTAGTGCTGCTATTGAGGCTTTTACTCGGCGCCTAAGTACTGCTTCTTAGCATTTTCCCTCAAGGCTAGTGTTCTACCACTTGAGTCAAACCTTCACTCTAGGATTTTTGCTGGTTAATTGGAAATAAGACTTTTCTGTCCTGGCTGGCTTTGAATCACAGTCTTCAGATTTCAGCTTCCTGAATAGCTAGAATTATTCTAGCTGAACTACTTAATAATCCTAGTGACCTACCACCACTCAGCTATTTCTGTATTTTAATAAAAATAAAATTCATTTTCTATTTTGATTTATAAGTTAGACATGAATATTTTGATTCCCTCTCTAGTATTTCTGGGGGGGGTTGTTTGTTTGTTTTAGTTTACTAAGATGTTACCTCCCCTCTCTGCTTTGTATATTTAAATGGATGGTCTTTTAGACACCCAGAATCCTATTTTCTTCTGTCTTTTTACTGTTTAAAATAAAAACCATCTGATAGTGAATGTTAGGGTGATTGAATCTACTTCAGCTGTAACTTTTATTTCTGTTCATAAATGAATTGAATTTAACTTATTGCAAAATGTACAATTGTAGAATAAAACATTTTCCTCTTGCTTGTGAAGCTACCTGATAGGAAGATTCTAGTTCTTAAATCACTAGTACGTATTCTGGTGAGTGTGTGTGTATGTATATGTAATGTATATATATTTTTTCTAGATTTATATCACTCTGAGTCTATTAAATAGACTCTAGAAATTCAGTGTTGTTTTCAGTAAGCATTTATTGCATATCAATTATCTTATTCTTGTGCCCAAGCACAGAATATAGATGAATAGGATATAGTCCCTGCCTTCAGATTAGATCAATGTGTGGAAAGACAGACATTTAGACACTGTTTTCATAAGCAATGAACTTTATTACAGATATAAATAGGCACTAGGTACTGTGGGAACAAAGAGTAAGCAACCTTAAATTTTATCTGTCTGTAGAGAAAAGTAGGCAAACAGGTCTTCCTTCAAAAGAAAGATGATACTTGAGTTACTCAAAAAGGGCATGAATTCATCCCTGACAAATAAGACAAATTATAAAAAGCTGGCAGAAGAACTACAGTGAGTGCTGTTTTTTATGTGGGAATATGACAAGTAGTTTGGTTCTGTAACAAAAGGATAATGATTCAGCTCCTAATGTGGTTTAGATCACCTGAGAAACTTAAAAAAAAATTAGTCAGGTGCCGGAGGCTCACATCTGTAATTCTCAGGAGGCTGAGATCTGAAGATAGTAGTTCAAAGCCAGCCCAGGCAGAAAAAGTCTCCATGAGACTCTTATTCCCAATTAATTACTTAAAAAACAAAACAAAACAAACTGGAAGTGGCTCTATGGCTCAAAGTGGTAGAGCGCTAGCCTTGAGCAAAAGAGTTTAGGAACGGTGCCCAGGGCCTGAGTTCAAGCCCCGTGACGGGGGAGGGGGGGAGGGGGGAGTGCAGGGGAGGAACAAGCTGCTTAGGGGTGAGTACAGTGGTTGCAAACTTCTGGTTTAGTGACATGTGTAAGAACGGTGAAAGATTGGAAAACCAGAGATTTTGAAGGCAAGATGTTACTAATATTTACCCAGTGCTATGCTTCTCAAACTAAAATGTGAAATGAATCACTTTTGTTTTAATGGTAGTAGGTCTGGATAGTATTTGTTTTTTTTTTTTTTACAAGCTTCCCTACTTACTGTCAGCAGTGTTTTTTAATGTTGAATAAAAGGAAAGAGAAGGAGCCTAAGATGGTTAAGGTACCTAGGCTTAGTGGCTTTGGCAACATGGAAGAAAGCCAAATATAGTTAACATAAAAGTTAATGACTTGAATTCTGGGTAAGACTGAGTTTAAATATTTGTGGAATGATAGTATTGTAGGCAGCAGAAAACACCTGGAACTTAGGGGGGAAAATCCAGATAGAGATATAGACCCTAGGAGTCTTGGGTATAGGTGTTAAAGACTTACGT